CCCATATGGGATCATGACCCATAGTTTAAGAAGCACTGTTCTAGCGGACCTTGCCAATAGCCCTGGTGCCACTTTTCTCACCACACCAATTCAGGAACCATCATCAAGTAAGAAACACTGTCCTTGTTCCTAGTATGTCCATCTGGTGCCTTTCAGCCCCATTCACATTCCCTGTAACTTTTCTCATTAAAGTAGCCTTCCTTGGCTACCACTCCCCTACATGTGTTATCTCCCCTAATTGGTTTGCCAAGGTACTACCTTTTCTTTTGTATTTGTATTAGCATAGTGCTTGGCACTAAGGATTACAAAATAACTGCTTTTTCACTTATCCATTTTTTCATTTATTCTCAACCACTAGCTATAAAACTTGCCTGAGCTTTCTTAGTTAGATTTCTTTTAAAGGCAGTGATCCAATCTGCCAAAAAGCTATAGAGCATCTCCATGCTGTGATCAAAGAACACCAAAAGCTGATTTCTTCTCCCCTCTAAAACAATAAAGCTGGGTCCCAATTAATGGGAAGAATGAATCCCATGAAGTGGCTTTATTATTCTAATTCACACTACTTGTATCATTATTATTATTATTACTATTAAATAATTTTTCTAATTCACACTATTCAAAGTTATATTTACATGTAATATATGATGATTGGTTCCAATCCAATGGAAATAATCAATGAAAAAAATTTATCTAAGTTTTAAATTAACATTATGTTAATAACTAATAAAAGTAAAATGAACATAATATAACAATAAAGGATAAGAAAAATGTTTTCCTGATTCAAGTTTATTACAAAATAACAGAGTAGTTATAGAAAGAAAAAATGCTTTAATTAGCAAATATAATACCTAAAGATAAACCTGTTTTGATAATATAGTAAAAACATTGTTATTGTCTTTTAAAATGTTTTAGCAGCCTAGAAAGAAACACCTTTTTCTTCAAATCTTCCTACCTAGTTACAGAGAGTTTTATCCATATCTTGATAAATTTACATGTTCACATTCTCACACAATGAACCAAGTGTAGTCAGATGACCTGGGGTATTATCTAAAATCAGTAATGCTTGAAAAGGGATATTGTTGGATTTATAATATATTTCAACAGCTGGGCTAAAAGAACGTGAAAACCAGTCTTTGAAAACACCCTTAGTCACCCATGCTTTCTTATTTGACTGCCAAAGGCCTGGAAGCCATCAGTGATTTTAGCTGGAGGATTTCAAAATTGATAGACAAGCATACTTTGGCTACATGACGAGAAGACAGGACACATTGGAAAAAAACTCTGATGTTGGGGAAAATTGAAGGCAAAAGGACAAGGAAATATAAATTCTGGAAACCATGTTTTTTCCATAACAAGTCTATTTCATCCATATTTAACAATTTGTTGATCTCTTTCTTCAATTATTTTCTTGAAAATATCAGGATATTTAGCTTCTCCTTATTTACACTGGCTTCATCTCTAGTAATTTTAACATTATTCAATTTAAAGTGACAGAACCAATAAATGCTTGCAGTAAAAGTTTCTTTGCTGTCCATTTCACTTTCATTTTCTTTCACTGACTTAAACAAACTTGAAGTTTCTTTCTGAATGGCTGCTCTGCTAAGAGGAATATGTTGGGTTTTTTTTTTAATTGTAATCTTCGATCCACACAGCTAAATGATGCCCTATTTTTATCATTGTAACACTTCTATGCCTTTACTTGTTTTCAAGCTACAAAAAAAGCCAGTGAAATTTTGCCCTTTTATTTCATTTTGTCTGTGTATTTTATAATATTTCAGTTCATAAATTCAGGCATTCTAGAATCTCATTCAATTTTAAAGTTACTATGACCATATTCACGCTCTTCAATTACATCAGATCTTGGTTTTAATGTAATAACAAGCCTCTTATTTTTTCTGCACTTGCCATATTTCCCCCTGAAGTATTCTTCTTTTCCTCTATTTTAAAAGTGCTCTTTAAGAAAAATAAACAACGGGGCAGCTAGATGGTGCAGTAAATAGATCACAGGCCCTGGAGTCAGGAGTACCTGAGTTCAAATTCAGTCTCAGACCAGATACTTGACACTTACTAGCTATGTGACCTTGGGCAAGTCACTTAACCCCAGTTGCCTTGCCAAAAAAAAAAAAAAGAACAATACCATTGTTAATAATATGGTATGCAGTAGCAGCTAGTCAGTCACATCCATACTTCATCACAGACAAGTAAAGGCTGACTAGTAGCAGCTGACTATCTCACACGTTGCATTAATTGAATTTTGGTTCACATTAAATGCAACCTGGCATTATTTTATAATTCACACTAAATTCAATATTGTCTTATTCAGACTCAACAGCAATTCCAACCTAGTTGTAAACTCTCCCCAAAAATTTGCTTTGTGCCTACATATCCTTCCATATAAAAATTACTTTGGGTTTCACACCATTACTATATATCCCTTTTAAAATGCAGTATACAATTTTGGAGGGAGTAACATATATCTACTAACAGCCATGAACACACCTAAGCCTCACCATGCTTTGCTTTTATGCTGTGCTGACTCCTGACACTGTCATATGAATTACTGATGTAACCTGAGAATCCCTGGGCCATCCACTTCTCCACTAAACCCTTAAGATTTCAGGTCTTTCCATCTTCCCTGCAGCTGAACTTTTTTTTTAATGTATTCTCCCTCTTCTCCTCCTCTCCCGATTAATTACAGTGTGAGCTCCTTGGAAGCAGATAGTGTCTTACTTTTTCTATCTGTATACCCAGTACTTATCACACAGCATGGTACGTAGTAGGCACTTAATAAATATGTTTTCATTCATTCATATGGATTGATATATTAGCACAGAGTAGACCCTGGGACACTGGTGACAAGTTAATCCTTTTCTTAGGGAAGGGTTGGGTAGGTTTGAATTGGGACAACATAATGGGAGGGGTGCAGGAGTGATAAGCAAACAGAAGGAAGGATGAGAATAATGGACAACTATGGGACATTAAAGGATGCCCAAGAGAGGAAGGAATATGCCAAAGAGTCAAGAAAGCATAAAGAAAAGGTATAGAGTCCCAGGAAACCAACCTCATCTACTTTATATTTTTGCTTCAGGCCAACTCTCATGATCAGCTGGCACATTTAGACAAGATAGCTGGCTGAGGCTAAGATAGCAAGCTCGGGGTAAGAATAGAACAAAGCTAACTATAGCTTATGTGGAGATCAAATCAAGGATCCTGACTTTATGGGCATAGGCATTTCTCAAACTGCATTCCATAAAACACCAGTGTTGTGCATGAAATAAATAAAGCTTATGTGAGTATTTTCATAGTGGTGTTTTTACCCCTTTGAAATATTTGGCATAAAATTATGTACATATCCAAAGTACTCTTCACATGTAGCAATATTCAGAATGAAAAGAGCTTTAATTTCCTCCATTTTATTCACATATTTTCTTAACCCGTTCCCCTCACCTTTTTGCCAAGGGGTATTTCATAACCCCAAGACCCTCTGGAAAAACATTAACAGATTCCAACAGTAGATTTCCAACCCAAAAGTATTCACCAAGCAAATGACTTTGGGAAATGCTGCTCTAATTAAGTTAATGAGTAAGCTATTACATGACATGTTTATTATAAGTCATCTATTGTCCAGGGGCTAGTGAAGACAAGTTAAGAGGTCCCAGAAAATCTCATTTAAAAGCTTGAGGTCTTCCATTTGCTAGAGGTATGAACAGATGAGATAAAGCATTCAAAGGTTCAAGATTAGTTGGGAATACAAGCAAATGAAATGTTAGGGTTCACAATCTATGACTGGCAGAGCCCTGTGACCACTGACACAGTAACATTCAGGAGAATACAGTATGGTTCAGAAAGTGTCATCGAAGATACAACTATTACTGACCTTATGACTTGGCGTCATCATTGTCCAACCCTTCGGTATATGTGGTTCCAGGGGCTTGCACAATACTCTTTCTAATGCACAATACTCTTTCCAAAGACACACAGCACAAAGCAAGGCTAAATGGATGCAGGTAAAGCCACATAAGCAAACAGACCTCCTTGAGCTACTCTGTTCTACCACAGAGAGGTGCTACCTGAATCTTCTCAGCTCTATAGTTTAAGGCCAGTTTAGAAATACCAATTTACTTGAGGAAGGGGGTTGGGGGTGAGTGAAGAGAGAGAGTAGGAGAGGAACAGAAAAGACCTAGGAATATTGAGACTGGGGATCTCTTCCACTTTCCAAAAGGGATATTAAACTAGAATTATATCCATCTCCCACTCCTAAAATATCTCTGATCTAGGGACTATGAGTCTAAGTCTAGAAGCAAAGCCATCTTCCTTGCTCTTAGGGAGGACGATATACCTTAGCTTACATTAGGCAAATTAACTCCTTCCCACTAAATGCCAGCTACACAAAAGACCATCACAAATAGCGAATATTACAAGTAAACTTTGAATATTCCAGCAAACAGAAATCAGAAAAGTCATACAGATTAGAATATAACAAAGCATGCACAAGAGTAAATAAACTCTCCAGCTGGGACTGAGATAAGATGTCAGTTTAAATAAACCAAGAGAGTGGATGAACATTCTTACCCAAAGGAGGGCCATTCTAGCAATCTCTAGAATTTCAAGGAATTCCAAAGATGTGATTAGAATACCTCCCCACGTATATCTGCCATGGTGAAGTCTTTCTTTTGCCTGCCTGAAGTGTGTTTTTATGTGTCTCTCTGAAGACTGTCTCTAGAACCAACTTAGTAAATCTCTCACACACACTCACTGTTAGAGTCAATGAGTCTGCCACTCAGGAGTCACATCTCTGTCTGCATACCTAGTAGCATGCAAAAGCCCTTAGGCTTTGATGAAAGCCAGGTCACAACTAGGTAGGAGTGGAAGAAAAGTAAAAGTCATAGAACACTGTCCAGTGAGGACCCCAGATGACTAACAATACAACATGAAAACATAGGGCACTTTGAGGAATAACGCATGTAAATAAACTTTTCCTTCTTTACAATTGCCCCCAGCAAAGAGCATCTCTGTGCCTTCCTGCCTGGTGTTGGAATCAGAAGATATTCATTGGAATCTTGGCTCTGCTACTTACTACCTATGTTACCTTATGCATATCACCACTTCTCTGAAGTTCATTTATTTAACTGTAAAATGAGGAGGTTGAATTTGATGATCCATGAAGTCATATCCAGTTCTAAAGTTATGATTCCCTGATTCAATAGGATTCTCAACTCCTGGCGTACTCTACAGACTTAACCTTATCTTCAGTCAATCTTGGGGAAGAAGAAAAAGCAAGAGATAAACAGAAAAACCTTGGCTTCTCTGCCATTCTCCAAGAACAGGCAAAACAAGAAAATAAAGAAGGAGAGAAATTAGCAATGTAGACACCCATTCTTACTGTAACAAGTTTGGACGATGGAAATAGACCAAATATGTGAGGCCTAAGGGGAAGGGAAGGTGGCCATGTGGCCGGTCACTGGCTGACTGCACATTTTCTCTACTGTAATGAATGAGTCCTTCACTCCTAGATGCTGCAGGAAAGAGAGATGGAGTGTTCTTGTCGGGTACTTTTTAAAATACCATTGGTTTCCACTATGCAGGTGATGGAAAGGTTTCTGCAAAATGTCCACACAAGCACCAGTCCTCCTGTCTTTCAGAAGCAGGTTCCTGGTGTCTCCCATATGGATATCTCTATCTTGGTTGATCTAGGCATGCACCAGACCTTACGACATTTCCCTATTCATCTGGTAAGGCAAACTTTCAGCCAACTTGTAAAGTAAGTGGTTTGTCTTTGGTGCCCCTCTTTAATCTCTGTTGTCTGTGTCCTCGCAGTCGTCATTCCATACTCCTTTCCCCCATCTGAGATTCCCAATGTTTTCTTCATATTCCTTATCCAAATCTATTCTGTGTTTCTTTATTATAACTGAACCTGGTCACAGCTTAAACTGTTACCCTTAGTAAGGGTATTTTCATTTTAATTGATCAATTCTTCAGCCAAAAAAATGAAGCTTTAATGGTGAGATTTTAGGCATCAGCCAGTAGGTGAGAGGTAGATAGGGAGAGGGACATCTGTTATTTCCTGATGCACCTGAAATCACATTACATATACTCAAGGACACTCAGGTTGCCTAGCTCCATCTTATCATCTTTCTCTCGAATGATCTTTCCATGCTTATGGACTTGGGGCTAATGGCAGAAACACAGGTAATCAAATCCTAATAAACTAGTGCTGATTTCCTTTTAGAACTGCCTAATGTTTAGGTGGGGTGTATGGTGTGTTCAAGGAGGACTAGCTCCTCTGGTGTGAGGGCTTGCCAAGAACTTTTTAGGGCTATTCATCTACCTTTGCTGTCCACCTTCACCCAACTCTCACCTGTGGTTGCAAGAAGTTATACCATATGAAGTGGCCATATCTCAGTAAACCATCTCCAAAGAAGGGCTAAACCAGGTTGAGGGTAAACTACAGGCCTCAAACTCTTCAATGAATTAGGGGGATATCTACCCTAAGCATGTGAAGACTTTCCCTGGCAGAATAGGTGCATGAGAACAATTTATTCCACCTTCCATGAAGGCAGCTGAACCAGGTGCTGTGGAGCGCTTAGAGCTTGGTCATCACCAGCCATCTTGACTATGTGCTGCCGCTGGACTTTGATGACTGGAAGAGAGAGGAAGTTGTTAACGACTTTGTGCAACTCTGCCTCATTTAAATCCAATTCACACACGAGTCAAGACATTACTCATAATGTCATTGGTCCTCTTGGAAAATGAAGGACAAACAATAATGTTTAGCCTCAGAGTTAGACCTGACTCTGATCCTAAACTCCTCTAGAGCACCAAGGACATAGACCTGCTTCAAAATTTAGTGTGTGTAGGGTAGCCAGGTGGAACAGTGGGTGGAGCATCGGCTCTCAATGAAAACTTTCAATGAGGAAGCCCCCTCTATGAATGTAGGTCTTTCTTTACTTGTTCTGACACTCACAGTGAGTTACCTGAGGAACTGAGACATTAAGAGCCTTGAACAGGGCCACAGAAGTCATTCTGTGTCAGAGGCAGGATATATATCCAGATCTTCTTTTCTCCAAGGCCAGCTATGGTTCACTATTCATTGTGCCACACTGCCTCTCATGCTAGCCATGGTTCACACTGGCGTTTTATATTTTACAAAGTACTTTCCTCCCAACAACTCTATAAGATAAGTAGTACCAATATTAATAGTCCCATTTAGCCAAAATTTAGCCCTTCTGATTAACCATGTAGCACTCCATCCTCAGTGAGACATATAAACAGAGGTATGCTGGTAAATGTTTAATGACCGGCTCTCTGAAAAGGCAGGACATGTTTTTAAGTTTAAGCTGCTTTAGTAACATTTTCTCCATCACTCTTCTAATTCTAGACAATCAACCAAACAGTAAATCAAGCCTCCGATTTGTAGCATCTGTTGATTTCCAAGAAGTAAATGTTCACACTGAAAACTTAACAAATGACTCTCAGGGATCTAGTCTGAGCTGACTGCAGTACACCCCTTCATATAAACAAAGCTTTTTCTTGCAATATATAAATAATTTGATCATGGATCTGAATGGACATATTGCCAAGTTTGCAATTGGTCAAAAGACAATAAAAATCAATGATACATCTGGTTGATATAATACATGTGGAAGTTAACGTGATTAGATGGAAATTTTCAAAAATCTTAAGTGCTTCAACCAAGGCCTCTTATCCTGAATAGATTTCAAGGGCTCATGAACTTGGATGGGGGAAAAAATGACATCTTTTTTTTCCATTAAGCTCTAACTAATACTTACTATTTCCTTCAATTATGAATATAGGCAATAAAACATTATTCTGAGAAAAAGGGTCCAAAGTATTCATCAAGCTGCCAAAGGGGGCCCTGACAAATAAAGGTTAAGCATCCCAGTTCTAAACACTCTCTATTACAGATAAGTAGAGACTGAGGGGGCGTGGTGCAATTGAGCAATATGAATCAGCAGAAATTACTAAATAGACTTTTTTAAACAATGATTTAAATAAATTCTCTTTCTAAAAGCTTGTCTCTTCAAATAAATATAAGACAGCCTAGTCAAAGAGAATGATAGAGATAGAATTGAGGAAAAGGGAAACTGGATTGCTCCTATCTATAACTCCTTCCCTGTGTGTCCCAAAATGTGCCGTGGCAAATTCAGTTGGGAGGAAAGGGGGTAAGTATAATTGCACTGGGGAAACCCATCCCCTAGCGAAGACAGGAGTCCCACGTGAGCAATTGTGTTCAGTAAATTCAGAGGATAAAGCAGTAAGGCATAGAAGCCTTCTAGGGAAGAAGCTCACCTGCCCTATCAAAAGTTGGCACCTTGGGGTGAAATTCCATTTACCAAATGCAAGCTATAACTCTGCCAACTTTTCTTTGTTCGGTCATTTCAGTCATGCTTGAGTCTTCTTGACCTCTTTTGGGGTTTTCTTGGCAAAGATACTGGAGTGGTTTGCCATTTCCTTCTCCAGCTCATTTTACAGATGAGGAAACTGAGGCAAATAGGGTTAAATGGCTCGCCCAGGGTCACACAGCTAGTAAGTATCTGAGGCTGGATTTGAACTCCACCGTGCCACCTAGCAGCCCTGCCACCAGAGGTACCATGAACATAAGCCAGTCCGGTTACACATTTTTAAACATTATTCCAAGAAGGTATTCATAGGCTTCATCAGACTGCCAAAGGGGTCCATTACACCAAAATGGTTAAGAACCCCCTGCTGTGATCCCTTATCAAGCTTCACTCAGGCTGCAGAAATTCAGCTCCCAACATGAATTATCTCTGTGTAAGGGAAATACCCCTACTTACCCTAGAAAGTAGGGTCATTCTTTGGGTAGAGAATTCCGGCCCCTTGCATTAGGATCCATCCCAGGAGGTTTGTGAATATATGGGAGGAATTACCACACATGGTGCCCACCTATTAAAGAATAGTTATTATTATATTATTGAATGTTGCTTCTGCCATTAGCCCCATAGTCTATAAGCATGGAAAGATCATTTGAGAGAAAGATGATAAGATGGAGCTAGGTAACCTGAGCATCCTTGAGCATACGTAATTTGATTTCAGGCACACTGGGAAATAACAGATGTCCCTTCTCCTAGCTACCTCTCATCTCCTGGTTGATGCCTATATATATATATATATATATATATACACATATATATATATATACATATATATATACATACATATATATGTGTGTGTGTGTGTGTGTATGTGTGTGCATGTATGTATATATTTAAGAATAAATATCCCCAGAATTCAGAAGACCTGGATTCAAGTCCTGACCTATACAGGATGAATGATCTTGGATGAATCAGTTACTTTCATGATGCTCTAGCCAGGGTTGGGGAACCTGCAGCCTCAAGGCCACATGTGGCCCTCTAGGTCCTCAAGTGCAGCCCTTTGACTCAGTCTAAACTTCACAGAACTAATTCTGTGAAGAGCTAATTGGGGAGCGATTAGGTATCCTATATCATCTCCTACAAAGGTTGGGGGGGAGGTGTTTGGGTAGAAGACACTTCTCCTAGGTGTTGGAGAGAGAAAAGATATTTCAAGTATGGAGGCCCCATACAGGGATATGGAGGTAGCACCTTGCCCTCTCCTGGAGCTAAGATTATGATTCCGGCTGAGTGACTGAGTAACTAGAGAACGACAGGCACTGTGGCTAAAGGGAAGAGCCTCAGCAAGGAAGACGTCCTCCAGCTGTCTCCAGGTCCTGCGTTCTTTCCACCACGACCTTAAAGAGACCAGTATGTTGGAGACTGGGATCAGAACGCCCAGGACCGATGACCACAGCACAAGGTGTTAGTCAGTGAACACTGTGCAAGCAAACAAACCTCAGCCTCTCCGTTTCTCCACAAAGGACAAAGAAGCTTTTTATTCCTCCCCAGGCTTCCCCTGCTCCAGGAAAAGACAGTGCAGCAGAATGGAGTATTCAGTGGTTTAGGAAGAGGTCAGGACACATGGGTCTCCAACCTCCTAATGTGCTGTGTGATCTGAGAAAGCACATTTCTCCTCCATGCCTCAGCTTCCTCATCTGTAAAATGGGAGGAAGGAGGGAGGTTTGAATTAGATGATCTCCAATCTCTCTTCAATATACCATTCTCCGTTTTAATGTTCTTCCTACACACACATACACACACACACACACACGTGCACACATGCACACAAACACACATGCTCTCTGTCTCTAGCTCTAGCTCTGTCTCTATTCTCTGTCTCTGTCTCTCTCCTTTCTCTGTGTGTGTCTCTCTTTCTATGTCTCTTTCTCTCCCTCTCCTCCTCTCTCTCTCCTCCCTCCCCTTCTCTGTCTTTCTTTGTCTCTCTGTCTCTCTGTGCGTCTGTCTCT